GACCCTTCTTCTGGGCTTGATGAAGACAAGGCTGGACTTCCTCCACAATGGAATGGAGCTGAACTACCTGGCCATGGATGAGACACAGACTCCAGACACCTGGGGACAGTCCTTTATGTTTGCCTCAGCTTCAATAAATCTTATCACTACACCTTATCCTCCTATGTGTGGTCCCTGAAATACTTTTCTTGCAACATTATAAGAACCCTGTTTCCACCAGCAACACTAGAACAATTTTATTACAAGTATAAAATCTTAAAGTAAATGCTGAATCTGGAGGGTCTGTTGTAGCAGAGATTGCTTGCTGCATTTGAAGCTTAATTAAAAAGCTGTAATTTATTTTAGCAACAGTTTCTTCCCTGGTACTATGAACCACATATCTGGTAAAGTGTAGAAATAAACTGCACAATGTTTTATTAATCAAGATTGTTGAAAAATAGAATAGTGTAGATGATAGCTTCCATTAGAGGGAATGGCAAATGGAAAAACATATGATTCTTTTAGTTCCCACAGTACTGTTTCACTGGAAATCTTTTTCTTTTACTAAGGGCTGGAATAGGGAAACTTAGGCTCTTAGATTATTTATAAAGTAATACATATTCCAAACATGAGAACGAGATGTTGGTTTTTGGAGTAGGGAACAATATTTTGAATTGTATTTTCAGTTCTTCCAACATATGAAAATTTCTTATGCCCTATATTTCATTCATAATAGAACCAAACTGTAGTGGGTATTGTGGTCATCTTTGTTCGGTTTTTAGTATTCATCTAAATTTGTCCTGACTGCACACACGAGGTTTTTAGATCAGAGACAGATTATCATTATTTATGTGTGGCCTAAGACATATTAACATTTTTTTCTCCAATTTTCTAAGTTCTTCTAGGCTGGATAAATAATCAAATGAACAGAAATTAAAAGGAGAAAATAAAGTTTAAAAAATGTGCATGGGGAATTCACATAGGCATGAAAATTCCAAAGACATTGAGGCAACACTGAGCATATAAGATATTTTTGGACATAGGAGAAAGGAGGAGAATGAGGTATTAGATTTCAGAAGTGAGAATGAGTGATTGACAGGTAACTGAGGAAGAGCAGAACATACAGGCAGGAAACTACTTCCTTGGCAACTCAGAAGCAATGGGACACAGTGGGTATCTAGTTAACAGGCACCTACCTCCCAGAAGCCCTCTTGTTTACCATTCTTAATTCAAATTAGGCTAAAGCAGCATCCTAAGATCTCCCTGAAGCAGGTTTCGCTGTCTGAACTTCTTAGGCAGGAAAGGGGAAAGGGTCAAAGATTCTTTCCGAGTCTTGTTTCTTAATGGCTTAAAAATCAATGTCCCAAAAATCAGCCTCAGAATGGTAAAACTTGGGTCCCTTTGCTTATGTCATAGTAATTGTGCTGGTTCCTGTTGTTCCAATTCCTACCCTTGGAGAGAGGCTGCAAGAACTATTTGTCACACCCTACATGGCAACCACGTGTGTACAGCAAGTGAGGAATGCTGAGAAAATAAATCTAGGCATTTAGGGGAAAAAAGAAAAGCAATTATTTTCCCATGTAAAAGAAGGGAGAAAAATACCTCTACTCCTTAAAGACAATTATGTAAAGAATTCTGGGTTCCCACTCTAACCCTTTTATAACGTAAATAAATCCCTCCAGGGGCCATGCAAGCCCAGTGTCACCAGCTTAATAACCCGAAGACAACTCCAAAGCCTGTTTCTCAACCTAACTTGAAATGTAAATATCTCCAAAGTTAGGTAAGTCTTTTGAGTTTTCATTATCTATGCAGTTCTAACTTATCCTCTAGAGCTTACTTGTAGTCCAGGTTTTCAACTTTCTATAAAATTTGTTCAAATAGCCCTAATTGTGCAGAAATACAAAAATATTTTCTCTACATTTCACAGTGTTCCAAAATCAGTTCTGCCTCCTCCTGGACAACATGGTTGCCCAGCTGAAAACTTCATATCCTAATTGCTTGCAAATAGATGTGACCTACGACTGAGTTCCTGATGTTGGAAATTTCACTTCTGGGTATGGTGCTATGTGCAATCTAGTCTGTGTTGAAATTATGACTACCTTGAGTTTGAATTGTGTGCAACAAATGTTGCACATTACTGTGTTTCTCTCAAAAGAATCTAAAAAACGCCCTGACTCAGTAGGTTGGGGATCACCCTGCAGACTGAAAGGTCACCAGCTCGATTCCCATTCAGGGCACGTGCTTGGGTTGCCCGCAGGATCCCTGGCTGGGGGCACGTGAGAGGCAACCGATGGATGTTTCTCTTGCACATCGATGTTTCTCTCACTTTCTTCCTCCTTCCCGCTCTCTAAAACATAAATTAAAAAAATCTTTTTAAAAAAAAATCTAAAAACCCTGCAGTTGCCTTGTGAGTTTGTTGTGGTACCTGATGAGCCTCAGTGCACAGTTTAGAAACTGGAAAGATAATCCCCTAACATTTAACAGATAAATGACACTGATAGTATTTGCTCGGGTAATGCCCACTAACAAGTTAAACTGCAAGAAATGACGGGTTCAGCAATTGTTGCTCATTCATTTCGTTCATTTAATCACCTCCTATGTGAAATTTCTATTTGGAAATGGAATAGGACAAAGTTTGAGGCTAAAGAGATCATTCATTTCCTTGAATGGGGGGTGGGGAAGAGGATTGATTATGTAACCAAATAGGCTCTCCCCAAAAATACATAGTGACAAATTCAGTTTCCCTTCATCTGAGACTGTATTGATTTCACCTCTGTTCCTAAAGGATATTTTCATTGGGTAAACAATTCTGGGTTGACTTTTTTCTTTTCAGTTCCTGAAAAATATTCATTTCCTTCTGGCCTCCATGACTTCTGATGAGAAATTTGCTGTCATTTGGATCATTGTTCCCTTATATCTAATGAGTCTTTTCTGCTTTTAAGAGTTTTACTTTGCAAGTTTCAGAAGTTTGATTGAGTACCTTGAACTTCTTTGAGTTTATATTTTTTGGAGTTCATGCAGCTTCTCAAATCCCTAGGTTTATGCCTTTCACAAAGTTTGGAGACTATGTAGCCAGTTTTTCATTGAATACTTTTTCAGCCCATATTGTGTCCTTTTTTGGGGGGTGACTCTGAAAACACCAATGTTAGATCTTTGTTACTACAGGTTCTTGAGACTCTATTTTTTCTTTTTTAGCTTATTTTCTGTGTTGTTCAGAATGGGAAATTTCTATTCTATCTTCACGTTCATGGACTCTTTCCTCTGGTATCAGCATTCTATTATTGCATACATCCAATGAGTTAACTTTTTTTCCATTCTACAATTTCCATTTGTATCTTCTTTATATTTTCTGTATCTTTACAGCAACTTTCTACTTCTTCATTTGTTTTAAGTGTGTTTGTAATTGCTCAATGAAGGATTTTTATGACTGCTTTAAAATTCTTGTCATGTAACTCCAACATCTGTGTCATGCCATTGATGACGTTGGTTTTCTTTTCTGACTGAAGCTGAGATTTTTTTGATGTGACGTGTAATTTTTTTTTTTAATGTATCCTGGACATTTCGGCATTATGTTATGAGACTCTGCATCTTATTTGAATCTTCTGTTTTACCAGGCTCCTTCTGATGCTGTGCCAATAGGGGAGGAGTATAGAAATCTAGGTTACCCATGTGGCCTTCACTGACATTCCACCCCACTGGGGTAAGTGGAAGAGGGGGGACCTTGTTATAATCAGGTGGTGCTAGAACTTCAGGGCCCCCGCTCTGCGTCCTCTGCACTGCCCCAGAAGAAGGGGGCAGGAGAGACTCATTACCTGCAGGCAATGGTGCTAGTGCAGGCTCTCCACTGTTTGATGATGGAGGTGAGGAGGAAGGGGTGGTATTTTCCACGCAGTTTAGGTAGAACAGGGCAGTCCTTGTTCCAAGGTTTGTCTTGCCATACTGTCCCTTTCCTCATCCTTTTGTAAGAGAAAGCAGGCTTTGTGGGGGTGGGACATTTTGTCTAAATGCATTGGCATTTCTGGTTGGTGGGCTCCTCCAGCGCTCTGTCCAGGATATGAGAGACAAAAAGAAAACTCAAGGAACTCAACATGATGGTGTTCCTTAAATACAGGGTCTCTGAACAGTCCTCCTTATCTTCATCTTTCAGTCTCGTATTCATTTTCTACACATATTCAGGGTGTTTAGCTTGCTTAAGGGGAGGAATAGGGAGAAATGTATCTGCTCCATCTTTTCTGGAACCAGAAGCCCTGCTTCCCTTAACAGAAGACATTGCTTGCTGCCTTGGGTAATTCTATTGTCTCTACCTGGAGGACCAAGACGAATTTCTGTAGCCCAGAACAGATCTAGATACACATCTATTCTAAACAAGCCCAGGCGTCCTTCTCCTAGGGCCGCTGCTGCCTGGAGTGCCCGCCATTCACTGGCTGAGGAACAAGAAAGGAATATTAAGAAAAACAAGATGTAGGGGATGGAGAAATGTATAAGAGAAAAGCTGAGTAAGGGTGATTTATCAGCAATTTTTTTTTTACTCCAGTACTTTCCATGCTTCAGTGGATTATAGGAAAAAGGGAAATGTGCTTAGAAAGTGAGCTTTAAAGATTCATTATTAAAGTGCTACATACTTTCCCCCCCGGAATCCCATCCCTCCTCCTCCCCACAGATAATGATTTAAACAAAAGAAATAAAACTTTCTTTGGTTTGTTCCAGTTTTTATTTAAATCTTTACTTCATTAGATTTGTAACTTTACACTTCTGGTTAAAGTTATAGGATCTCTATCTAATAACTACAAAAACAAGCAGAATGTAATGATGACAGATTATTAACTTGATGTTGACACTAATGGTCATTAAAGACCAAACTTCTGTAACTACTGAGGTAGTAAGTATGTTACTCGTCTTGTTCTATGCTCACTCTTGGTTGAACCAAAAGATCTACCCTAGATTTGAAGATTGATGATGCCTGCAGTTGGATATATTAGAGCCTTTTGAAGAATTTCCTTTTCTTGTACTTTTGGTATTTTCTATCTTAGGCTGTTGAATCTCTTTTTTCCCAAAAGCGTTCTTGCAAGACGAGTATTAAATCTGTTATTACGAGCTTTCTTATTACGACAAGAATCCAGGGTCCTATGGAACTTGCCTCTGTTCTGAAATGTCCCTTCCATGTCTTGCTCTTTCTGCTTATACCTTTCTACCTTCTCTGCTTCTAGTAGCTTCTGTTCTTTCTTGTCCTGTTCATAGTTTATGCAGATTGGCTTCTCTTGCAGAGTTGCATCTTTCTGATAATAGAGTTCCTTGAGAAGCTCTACTCTCTGCTGTAAGATTTGGCATTCATTCTCCAGCAAAGCTGTAATCAAATGTAATGAGTACCTGTCATGGTTCAGTTTCCTTATCTGTGCCTCCAGTTCATAATTAGCTGATACTTTGTTATTCAGTTGAGTTTGGAAATGGACTCCATGACTTCCAAGAGTTACTCTTATGTCATTCTGAGATTTCTGATACAATTTTATTAGTTCACTAAGCTCAGCATGTTGCACGCTCCAGTGTTCTGCTTCCTGCAGTAACTGCTCCATGTTGTTCCTAAGTTTGATATTTTCTTCTTGAAAATGACAGAATCTGTATTCTGCTTTTTCCTTACTTAATTGAGTCTCATTAACAGTTCTTCTTCCTTCTGAATGACTTACCAAATCTCTTGCCAAACCTTGTACTGCGTCCTTTGAGTTCTGGTTTTCCAATATCATCTCCTGTTTCTCCGCATTCTGGTCTTCATCTAGGTCTGGACAACCAAGCAGGCTTTTCAATAGCATTTTATTTATTTTATCAAGTCCTCTGATTTTTTCTTTAAGTTCTGACACATTCTCAGAGATATCTGTTTCCTCAGATGATTCTCTCATTTCTTCAATCTCCTTTTCATACCTTGTCATAGAGTTAAGAGTATCTTTCATTTCTTTGAAGAGATTTTCAAACTTCTTTGCAGTCTGTTGTTCAATTTCTTGATGGCAACTATTATTTAAGGAAGGGAGAAAACTCCAGGAGACGGGGAAATGATCCACTTTCAAATAAGGCAATGACAATCTTAGGGTCTGAAGACTCTTGACCGAGATCAGGAATAGGTTTAAGTATTTCAGAGGGTGGGCACTTCCATCTCACTGAGTTAGTAGAGCTGGTACAGGGCACAAAAAAAGCAGAACACCTTAGAAATCCCAGGATGGTGATGGTCCTCCATGCAAATGGGTAGGGAATATGGAAATAAGCAGAAGTCAGAGACCAGAGTTGAAGTCTGAAACCAGGTAGATGATATTTAGGTGGAAAGTGACATCTCAGACAACTTAGTGGGGAAGGAAGGTGGGAAAGGGGACCAGGAGATAGGGCCCCATCTCCCCTCCTCCAGGCTTCTGGTATTTATTCCCTGGCCCTAGCAACCAGGTCTTTATTCTGTCACTGCTCCATTGTGGCCTGTCCCCAGCTTCTGCTTCCTTTGTGTCACAGCTGAAGCCTCTTAACCCCTACCCAGTGACTCATGCATCGGCATCAGCTTTGAACTACTCCTGCTCCTCACCCCAGAAGAATCTCTAGGTTTTTATTAAACTCATTCTAACTGTATTTAGTGACTTTCCCACCTCATTCTCAACACCCGCAACCACAACCTTAACTGCAGTATGTTTTCCTACCAGCCAGGTACACGGCTGGAAGAAGTGCTGCCTGGTGAGTTTTCCTGTTCTTTCATAACATCTGGAGACCTTGCTGCTTCCCTTCAAGGAGAGATGCTACTATAAAAGAAAGTTATCCTTACAAAATAGAACCCCAAAAGTGCCTCATCTTTTTGTGATTTTAGGAAAATAATGTCAGAAATCGTTCCATTCAAAAACATTCTACTGCAGTAAGAAGAGGGTCTTTGAATGGTGCTTAACAACACAATTACAAGTGGAACTTTTCTTGGCTTCAAATACAAGCAACCTTTAAGATAGTCTTACTGAGCTTGCTCCTGAGTCACTTACATCAGGTGATGTACAACTTTTTAATCATTACTTTTCCCAAGAACTTGTTAAAATGGCATCATTTATCTAAAGCATTTCACAAAGCTAAAATCCTATAGTGGGTTATAGAAAAGTAACTGAGGTTACCTTGAGAATATTAAGTTCAAAGAACACATTCCTTACGCGAGACTTTTTCTTGGCCTTCAAAATCTTGCTAGTAAGCACTTCGGTAACTAGACATTTGCTTTCAATCTTGGGGAAAAACTTATACTCTAGTAGTTTTTTTTTTCTTTTATTTATTTAGGGAAAGAAATATTCTTTTTTCTTTCACAGTTCCCAACTTACTTTTGCTGCCGTTTCCCTGAGCCTCATGCTCATCTCCCAGCCAGCTGGGCTCCGAGCCATCGCCCTCTGACTGTCCACAGAGGCAGCAGGGTTGGTCTGTTTTTTACTTAAAGGGGCACCCCTTCTACTGTGCATAATGATACCACAGAGGCTAGCAACTGCTCTCATGCTTTAATTATATCTCATAAGGTTTGATTTTGACTCAAGCCATCACTTAAGATCATTTTTAAATCTCCAGGACAAGGAAACTTTTTATTTTTTCTGTGTTGGTAATTAATTTCTAGCTTTATTGCATTGTAATCAGGAAATAGAATACTTCTGCCTCTTGAAATTGGTATTTTCTCTTTGGCCTATTAAAGTATTAATATTCATAGGTATTTCATATATACTTGAAAAAAAGTGTATTCTCTATTTTCTTCTTTTGCTCACAGCTTTTTGATGCTTTTTGGACATACATCTCATTCTATCCCTTGCTTTGATTTTCATGGAAACTGGTTTGAAGGTAGCTTAGTGAAGATACCAAAAAAAAAACCCCAACAAAAACAAAAAAAACTTTCCTTTCATCAAAAGGGAATTAAATATTTTCTTCCTCCTTTCAAATATAATGAATTTCAAATAATATTTCTGTTAATTTGACTGAAATATGAGTTCATTGTAGATGGTAAAAGATATTCAGTGGTCCTCTTTTCAATATTGACTTATATTCCTGGTGAATAACCATGAAAGTTAAATACATTTGGATGGTCTTACATTTATTATCTATAGTATTGTTTCCCATAGCTCAATAACTTTTTAAAAAGAAATTCAAAAAGAGCAAAAAGCTGTTTCTAAAATTATTACAGAGAAAAGTTGTATAGAATTTTCTCTCTTCAAAAAGTTTACCTTAATAAAAATATGTCATATTAAAAAGTACATAGTGTCAATATATCTTACGTCTAGTGATGCTAACTTTGATTATTTTATTAAGTGATGTCTGCTAACTTCATCCCCTATGAAGTTACTATCTTTCCCTTTATAATTAACAAACATCATGGGGGAGATATTGAGTTTATGAAATTATCCCGTTTCTCCTCAAAATTTTATCTACACAGTATAATTTCAGTATACAGAGATGGGTCTTGCCTGTAACAATTATTACAGTGATGATTTAATGGTGATTTTTTAATTTCTCTCATTTTAAAAATAATTATTTACTGGAATTGTTTTGTAAAGAAGAGCTGTCTCTTTCCTTGTATTTACTTACTGATTCATTTATTCATTTATTGAACTCTGTGTTTACATAAGTGTGGACTCACAGATATTTATTATATTTTGGGAGTTATAATTGAATACTATCATTTATTTTCTTTCCCAAGGATGTATGAGTAATGAATAATTTTAATACAATAAAAATCTTTTGTATAATAAGGTATATTTTTATTTTATGTAATTGTTTTGTCAAACAGGGTTTTTTTTTTGTTTTTACCAAAACATGATAGCTGATTAATGATGACTATTCAAGGGTTAGAGTTTTTATGTACACAACGGATTCCATGCAGGGTGGGTGTGATTTTAAACATAATGACCTATGTGGTTGCTTTTATATGTCATTGTACTTGTGTATAGACATTTTAGGGAGAAATTATCTGATAATACGAATTTTTATTCAAATGAGCAAAATAATAATGTAGCTGACCAGTCTGTGAACCCTTTTCCTCAGCATGTCCTTTTCTCTTTGACCACCAGGTGATGCTGTGGCCTTTAAAATTAGTATACAAACTTTTTTTTTTTTTTTTTTTTTATATTGAACTCTAGAATGGGTGGAACCATGGAGATAGTCCTATCCACAGTCTTATTTTCTTCAGAATTTGAGAGTGGAGCTTCTAAGTGGCTTGCCCAAAGTTACAGCTAGTCATGAGGAAAGCTGAAGTTAAAAGTCTGAGCCTCCTGCCTTAACTTGTTAAACCTGCAGGGAGAGTAGGCTCTTCAGATCAGGAGGCTGTGGAAGAATTTCTAAATGTCTGTTAAGTATTGTACAGGAAAAGGTTATGTGGAAGAGCAGGTTTTCAAAGGTGCTGAGACCGGCTTGTTTTACAAGGACGCTAGCAAACAAACCTATATACACAAATGGCATTTTGACTGACAAACGTGTGACCAGAGACTCGCAAGAATTTAACTTTGTATTTCCCTTAGAAGCCATAGTTCTGTCTTCCCTAATTCAATGTTGGCAGCAACTTTATAACATAAGTACTGCAAATAACCAAAATCAGCTGTACGTAGGAAAAAATTAACAAACCTCAACAAAACTGTACTCTGCAAACTACAAAGTACTATTGAAAGAAATTAGAGATCTTAAAAATGGAAAAACATCTCATGTTGATGCATTTGAAGACTTGATATTGTTGCTTTTTTAAAAAGAAAATATTTATTTATTTTTAGAGAGGGGAAGGAAGAAGGGAGAGAGGAACAGAAATAGCAATGTGTGGTATTGCCTCTCACGCACCCCCTACTGGGGATCTGGCGTGCAACCCATGTGTGTACCCTAACTGGGAATACAATCCGCGACATTCTCGCTTTGCTGGCTGTCACTCAATCCATTGAGCCACACCAGCCAGCACAAGACTTGATATTGTTCAAAGGGCAAAATTCCCCAAATTGATCTACAGGCTCAACACAATCTCTATAAAAATCCTAGCTACCTCTTTTGCAAAAATTGACAAGATGATCCTAAAATTCGTATGAAAATTCAAAGGATCCAAAATGGCCAAAACAATCTTAAAAAAGAAAAACAAAGTAGGAACCCTCACATGATCTTCTTTCAAGTCTTAATCCAAAGATATAGTGATCAACTCTGGCTGGTATGGCTCAGTAGACTGGGGTGCTGGCTTGCAAACTGAAGGGTTGCTGGTTCGAATCCTGACTGGGGCGCATATAAATAAATAAATAAATAAATAATGATCAAAACAGTGTGGTGCCCTGGCTGATGTGATTCAGTTGATTGTGTGTCATCCCTCAAAGCAACAGGTCATTGATTTGGTTCCTGATCAGTATTTCTCACATCTATGTTTTTCTCCTTCCTTTTCCCTCTCTCTAAAAATAAATAAATAAATAGAATCTTAAAAAAGAAAAAGACAGTGTGGTATTGGTGAAAGGGCAGACACATAGATCAATGGAACAAAGTAGAGAGCTCAACAACAGACCCACACAAAAATAGTCAGCTGATTTTTATCAAAAGTACAAAGGCAAATCAACAAATGATGCTGGATAAACTGGATATCCATATGCAAAAAACAATAAAGATTGACACATTTCACACCTTACAAAAAAAATTTAACTCCAGATAGATCACATACTTAAAAGTAAAATATAAAAGTAAAATTTCTAGAGGAAAACATAGGAAAAAATCTGTGTGACTCTGGGTTTGGTGATGAGCTTTTTGATACAACACTACAAACATAATCTATTAAAGAAAAATTTGATAAATTGGAATTTTACAAAATTAAAACCTTTCATCAGTGAAAGACTCTGAGGTGAGTGAAATGACAAGCCACATATCATCTCTTCACACAGTGATCATTTTGTGTGTGCGATGAGTGCACCTGAAGTCTACTCTCTCAGCATATTTTCAGAGTCCCATACAGTATTATCAAGTCATCATGCTTGCATATGAGGTCTCTGAACTTATTCACCCTGGTTTTCAGTTAGAATTCATTGCTCGCCCACGTAGACGAAGCGCTTTCTACCTCCTGCACAAAGTGTCTGAGGATCCCTAGGGTGCTCTGAAGACATAGTGTCAAGATAACATCCTATAAACCAAACACTTCTGAGCTGTGAAACGCTTTCA